TTCTGATTAAATTGTTTATTCATTGTGTGTGAAAGAAAACATGTTTTCATCTTTATTTAGAGACATTATTCCTTGATTAAGAATGAAACAAAAATATGCGTTTTTTAACGTGTAAAACTGGTCTTGAGAATTTCTGATTCGGCTGAATTCAACAATTCCTTGAAAGATGAACAGCGTTTTTCATATTCTTTGGCGTCTTTGATTCTGCACTGAAACAAATCTGTAAATTCACAATATGAGTTCTATAAGTTGACAATTGAAAAGAATACATCCAAACAGAAGAAAGTACCTTCGATAAATTTGGCAACATTTGGATCGACGCCGTGGTATTTGATCTTGTTGATACCAATCAATCCGACTAACAACGCTTTGATGAAATTCTTGTCAAACTGTTCATTCTGTCGATTTTGTTCGCCATTCAATTGAATTAAGCCTTTGACCACAATTGCTGGTAACGCAATTTCTTTTGAGCCTTTTATTAAATAAGCACGATCGCCGTTCGGCTATGGAAGAAATCTGACGTGAAAAAACCACACAATTCGACAAGAAATCATTTTAAATTACTCACGTTCTGTTTAAAAGGTATATTCACTGAAATTGGATCATTCTTCTTAGTCTGGTACTCGTCGATCTTTGGTTTCAATTTTACTCCAATAGGAAAAACCATTTCACAACCATCGCCAATGTTTACTGTAACTGCAACCGCCCTATCTTCAATCGTGCTCTCTTGATTGTTTTGTTCATCGCTGAAATAGTCTGAGATTGCAAATGAATCTATTTCATCCATCTCAATATTCGGCATTGTGAGTTTTTCATCAACGGCACTGTTCATTTCCGAATCAACGGATAACGATTCGACTGGCGATTCTTCTAACACAGGTTGACGTTCCTCTTCAATGGGCCATAAATTCCGAACGTGGCTTTTGTGTTGACCAATTGATTGGGCAGCAATTGGCTCAATTTGAGGCTCACTTTCAGTTGAAATAACATTTGTTTCTCGGTGAACAATCGGACCTGAGCGATTCGTATTTTGAGAACATGGTGGCAATGAAGGTAGCGACTTTTCATGCCGTTTGCGTGGACTATAGACCACCGGCAATTGTGGGCGAAATGTGTCACGAAAATATTTAGCCCGAGCAACTGTTTCACAATACCACTTCACACGGCCAATGTAGCAAGCATCATCACTATCAGGTGGAAAAGTCGATGCAATATTTCGTTGGAAATTTGGTTTAATCGTCACATCGGGAATGCCGTCATCATCAACATTGGTGTTCGACCAAAAAATTCGTCTGTTTTGGTATGACGCCTTACCAATATTATTTAAGGTTTCCTGTGTGAGCGACATGATCCATTCTTGTGGTATTATAATATGTGTTTTCAGCGCAACTATATAAACGACAGCAAGCATTTTTCTATTTTTTTTCTTTCAAAAAATGAATATGAAAACCGATATAAAGAGACCAAATTGCTTGTAAACCGAGTTATTGTTTTTCTTTTTGCTAACGCTACGTATCTTCTGAAATCCTTTCGTATACTATATATGCGTCGTTTGTGATTTAGCGCCCAATGTCTATTGTATCGGTGTTTGTCTGTGTGTGTATTACATAGCTAGTCATTATGCTGTGAGTATTTTTCATAGATTCTTTGTCACTTGTCACACAGATCGATGCGCCACTTACATATTCAAAAGGGTTTAGTCGTTTGCAAAGTCACCATCAGTTCACGCATATCCTTCTTGTTTAAAATGGATTTGGGTGAAAACGAAGAACAATTAACGCCTCAGAAAACAACAAATCCGAAAAGAAAACGCTCATACACGCCAAAAACACCGAAAAAAGAAACAAAATCAAACAAGGCACTGAAGTTTTTTACCAACCCAGTTTCGCGCGAAGAAGATGGCATTAATAATACATACTATCACTGCACCATTTGCAAAAAAGAGTTGTGTGCGAACCATTTAGTGAATTTAGCCTCGCATCTTTTGTACAAACATGAAAAAATTTATGAACTGCACATTGGACCAATCGAAGACCCAATTGAAGTAAAACGATTAAAATTACTACAAAATTGCTGTTCTATTGTCGCACTGGGTGGCCGTCCATTCGCAAATTTGAATGACCATGGGTTTCAGAATATCATACGTGATCAATTGAATCAATTTTCAAAGGCCGGCATTCCATTGGATTTACAGCATCGCACTCAACGAGCAGTTCATACACATTTGAAAGAAACTGCGATGCAGGTTGTGAACACAATCAAAGAAGCAGTGAAACGGCAAGCGATTTCAGTTCAATTGGATATCGCAACTCGCTTGGGCCGGTCCATTCTTGCTATTGATATACAATATATTGCGAATAAAAAACTGAATGTGCACAACATCGGAATGATTGAACTTGATAAGGCTCACACAGGTGCATATTTATCAGAAGTGTACCGAAAATCGATTTCAAGCATATGAGATTGTGAAGCAACAAGTGGTGAGCATCTCAGCCGATAATGGAAAAAATGTCCGCAAAATGATTCGAATTGAGCAATCAGAGGCTGTAAATCTGTCGACAAATCGGACACCAGTCGCAAGAAGACTTGATTTTGATTGCGTAGTAAATGTATCGACACAAGGAAATTCTGTTGAGATTGGCCCAGCATCGACACAGCAAAACTCTGCTGAGATTGGCATAGTACCGACACTACGAAGCGCTGCTGAGATTGACACAGAAATAGAGGCTGTTCTAGCCACAGAAGAGATGACTGATGACACTGACAATGCAGTAATTATGAACATATTTAGTGAATGTGGAATTGATGTAAGCGACATAAATGGGCACGAGACGTTATTGAATGAAACATTAGCTGAAATATCAGGAGAGTGTGAAATTGAAGCTTTCAATCTGACTGGAATAAACTGCGCTGTCACTACAACTTTTGATAAAAGATGCAATAAAGGAGCTACGAAGCGTAAACAGCAACATCATTGATCTGTGCCGGCGGATTATAAAGGCTCTCAAACTCAATTCGACAAAACTTATTGTAGAAGAAGCACGGCAAAACTGTTCGGCATTGTCATTCACAGAACAACCCAAATTTGACATGAAAGTGCCTTCATTGGACGTCGAAATACGATGGGGTTCAACATTTGTTATGGTAAGCATTCAGATTTTTCTCATTCATTGCGATCTCATTTTTTCAAATGCCAACAAATGTTCTATGGGACAAGTCATTCTTTTCAGAGTATTTGTTTACCGTTTCAATGAATCGTTTCATCAAATTCAAATAAATTGCTATATTTTATCGGCATTGTAGATGGTATCTTATTTCATATGAACCAACAAGATTCATTGATCATGCACAATTTATGCAGACTAAGCATTCACATAATTTTAAATTTAGGCGTGTTTTAAAATTAGACGAATATTCGTACAGCTTATTCGTTATTGAAAGAATTGTGTAAACAGAAGACATTTTTAGGCGCCGCTTTGTTTTAAACATGATTAGAGAGTGTTTATTTTTCTCTAATAAAACTGTTTAAATTGATTTACTTAACAGTTAAACGGACTAGCCGAAATGCGAGACGTCATCGAATGTGTGGCTGCCAAATCAACGAAGAAACGATACACCGAATTCCCATTGCTTCTCCATACGAAGCCACCGTTAGGTTGCAACGAAAAGACTTGACTCTTTCGGACACGTACGGAATTTGGCTCGAAATAAGACTTCGACTGAATAAAAATACCAGACAAGGAACGACAGGTCTGGCCCAGGCATTGCTGCAAAAATTCAATGGCCGGTTTGATGTTATTTTCAACAATCCAGCAATGAAAGCAGCCATATTCTTGGACCCACGCTATCGAATGGGCATCACACGTGATCGGCAATTTGTGGCGGAAGCCAAAGACTTCATTTTGGAAATGCATCGACGGCTGATTTACCTCAAAGGTGAACAATGTGCAACTGATTCAGAAACCAACGAAAATGCCGCTGATGACTTTGATGATTTCAACATGCAGGACGAATTGAATCAATTTTGGCAAAACCCAATCAACATCAAATGCACAGTTGAGTGATATCGAAGCATCTATCGATGCCTTCGATCCGCCTCCAATGCCAATAAAAGATTCTCTATTTGACTACTGGGAATCTCAAAATTGCGATCGAGAACTTCGTGATATTGCCATGGCCATTTTTTCCATTTCTCCTGCCGAGACACAATGCGAAAGAGATTTCTCTCACTTAAAAAGAGTTCTCTCCGATCAACGTGGCAATTTATTGCCTGAAACACTTGAAAATATACTGATTTGTAAATTGAATACAGATATATATCACAAAG